AGCTCAAGCCCATGTCCTTCAGGAAGATGCCAATTTCCTGCCCACAACTTACTGTACCATCTTCTGGACCATTTCTTTCTTGTTGTTTTACATTGAGGCTGAAGGCCAGCTTGTGTCTGCCTCTCTCTGGTCTCTTTTCCTTCTCCTTTCTCTCTACCCAATAGACTTCTGAGTCTTCCCAACATGTTCATGGCTGAACTGTAAGGGCACTGAACCAACTGTCCAAGGGCAGTTGGTGTTGCTACAACACAGGTGACATCAGATAACATTCTGAAGTCTCCAGGATACAATAGAATGTCCAGGCATGAGACACCCCTGATGTCATGAGGAACTGACATTGCCTCCCTGCTAACCAGATTTCCTCATAACTCTCCAGAAGTCAGGTTTCCCATTCCAGGAATCTTTCCTGGGACTCAATAGATATGATATGCTTCAGTACCCTTTTCTTCCATAGCCAGAGATTGCTCTCTGATTGTTTGGAAATGCCTCAGTACTTCCATGTGGGAAAGAAAGTGAGCATTCATCTCCTATTAAAGTGTATGTCCAGAAGGTAACAGTATTATAGACATTTCTGTGAGGTATGATTCTCCACAAGTATTGCATCTCCTTATTATCAAGAAATGATAGACTTAATGATAATGGAAAGGACACTTTTTAAACAACTTCCTGGTATGGAGCCTACAGAAATTACTGCCAGTAGATAATATGCAGCTTATTTGATTTAAATTGATGAGCACTGGCAGATTGCATTAGCATGTTACATGGGATCTATAGATAATCACTACTCAGTACATCACCTTTTTAGAGTTTCTGAAAATGCTCAATGGGTATGACCCAAAATTACATCTAAAAATCCTGTAGAGTTTGCTCTTAGTGATTTTGCAGATTGTTCTTCAAAAAGACAAGGACCATATATATATTTTATACAGAAATTCTTCACATTCCTCAAAATGGCTAGTACCTTCCCCTGACTGTACAGCTCAACAGTCAAAACTTATTATATTCCATTAGACATTGCTCAGTAATAGGTTACTTTTAACTCACTTCATGCATATATTTGCACATGAAGGATAGAGTTATACTAAAAATGGAAACT